TTGGAAATTAATAGACACGAGTAATGTTTTGAAAGTTCTTGTAATTGCACGAGCCTTAGCGATTTCCTATACTAATGGCATGCTATTTTTTCTTTGTGTGCGTTTTCCATTTCTTTTGTTCATTTTGACAATTTCAAGAGGGTGAAGTCACGTGACCAACTGCTGCAAAAGGTCTGTCCCTTCCTTTCATGCCTGTCAATGTGTATATAATAGCAGATTAGTTGTCCAAACAACATGACCCCAAATCCTGCCAAATCCAAAGTCAACGCCTTGTATTTTGACAATATAATTTCAAACCAACTCACAAAATGTCTTTGAATCCTCATAGCCTTCCGCTCCCGTTTGCTTTTTTTCTTTTTTTCTTTTTTTTTTTTTCTTTTTTTTTCTTTTTTTTTATGGCGGTTGGTTTTTTTGGGGGGAGGGGGGTGGGGGGAGCATTACCGTATTTCAAGCCGCGCAATTAGACCACGCCACTTCCGGTTTTCTTTATCACAAGGAAGGTTCTTCTTGATCGGCGCGACATGAATGACTGTGTCAGATAGGATTCTATGCAATACACAAAGGAAGAGCTAAAGAAAATATATGGACTATTCTGAATACTGTTTGTGGTAAAGTAGTGTTTGAAGTCGAGTTCTTTTATCTTATTTTYCTGAAAAGTAAATATGGAACAAAGTGACAGTTGATCTTGTCTTCTCCTCATCCTTGGTCAATCAGTACTCGTGGTTAATAAGTTGGTGAGTAAACATTTTTTTCATTCATGTGAGTGGTTTTGAACACATTCATCGCTTATTCATGAAGTATTTCAGCATTGTAAGGCTTAACTCTCTTTCCCAAGTTCAACGACAATGCTTATAAATGTGTACTTGGCGCATTTGCGGTTATATCTTCGCCCTCAAACTCAAATGCTTGGTTCTCCGTATAGATAGCTTTTTATATATTATTAATATAATATTTCGGTACGTTGTATGCTTTTTATTCAAAAATTATTCGTGAATTTGTGCCATGCTTTGTCGTATGTTGAAGTAATCTTTAAGCTGTTTTACTGTTCGTCTGGACGGCTTCTGTAATTTGGCATTCCTTTATCGTCACGTTTATTGTCATTTTTGGTCTCGATTCGTGTTGACTTCAAGTTTAGATTACAGTAGCTGTACGGCTCGTGGCCCTCGCTATTATTTTTGGCGATGGAGGCCATGATATTTTGACATGCTTCGATAATCCCAATATCGTATGGGTGTTATTAATGAATTCTGTTTGTTTGAAAATGAACAGTTTCGAAGATAAAGCATTATTGTTGTTCTTTTCCTCAAAGAATTACTCAGAACTTTGCACATTCTTCTTTGTTATTACCTTCAAAATTTAGAAATTTATATAAGCTTAGGCTTAAAGAAAAGCATAATTCTATCAGTGGAAGAAGCAGCTGCTTGCAGCTTGTATTCAAGCTTATTATTTTTTGCTTCTGATCAAATTCGGTAAGCTTCAACTAGTTGTACATATTTGATTAATTATTAAAGACCTCTTGATAGTAGTAAATAAATCAATTCGTTCATTCATTAATTTATACGTTACGAATACTTTTGAATGGATGCCAGTGAAGGACAATACTGATCTTACAGTATCTAATAATTACATGAAATGGTTATTAACAATTATTATTTACTAAATTATATAATTTGTTACAAGCATCGTACAAGATATTTTAGCTGAGATCCTTTATTGCTAAGGCAGTTGTTATTTCTAGACATTCCTTTTTTGATGGATGAATTAGGGATCATAGCTGGTATTACAATTAATCTGGATTACGCTTTCACATTTTTTCACATGACATGCATGACCTTGCTTTAACATATCTTCATCTACATGATACTTGGTATATTTCCAGCTTTGAATATATGAGACAGGAGTAAACATTCAAAACTTTCTTTTTCTTGGCTTACTTAGAAAACTTGCATGAGATTATTGCATGTAGTTTAAGGTGGCTAGACCCCCTCATGCTTGACCGCTACCTTCCACTTTTGGAACGCTGGTGCATAAACGTCTTTTATCCGATTGCAAATCTTTTTTGCACATAAGTCACATAAAGATTTAATTAATGTTTGATGCAGTTTTTARTGAGATCGGATGTCATAACACGTGATTATGATGAAATATTTGTTTTCGTTTAGAAAATAATTTTAGCCTTGCAGAGCGTTCAACACTAAAATGCTTCGTACCACATAATTATACACTGGATGTCCTCCATATCTAGCTAATTATGAGATATTTGAGATTATTTAAATATAATGCATAATCTACTTCAAAACTAAACAATGGATTTCATACGGCCGAAATTAGTATTTCAGAGCTATATATTCACAAAAGTCATTGCTCATTTAGTTTTACTCTGTATCTAGTTTTAAAAGGAACATTTTGAAGGTAATCGACTTATGCGATTTTGTGAAAACATATAGTGCAGAAGACGGGGTAAACATTTGATAACACAAAATTTCAAGACTATTGAACTTTTTTTATTTAAACGTGGGACGTTTGTAAAATTATTTGCTAAACGTAAACAAATATTTCATCATAATCACGTGTTATGACCTCCGATCTCACTAAAAACTGCATCAAACATTAATTAAATCTTTATGTGACTTATGTGCAAAAAAGATTTGCAATCAGATAAAACATGTTTATGCACCAGCGTTCCAAGAGTGGAAGGTAGCGGTCAAGCGTGAGGGGATCCAGCCACCTTAAGGAGGCTGGAAAGTGTTTTGTGCCTTCACATGCACTTACAATTATGAAATAAAAAAATTTATAGGGCTATAATATGACAGCAAGTAAACCAGGAAATTCAAATACCATAAACCAATAATCTCAATGAACTCTGAAAGTCCTCCATTTTTTGTGGGGGGGAGGGGGAGGGTCAGAATAATTTCTGGAACTACACATTGTGATAAAAAATATATAAGCTACCATAGAAAATAGCCAGTTAATCAACATGCATTGTTACAGCTTGTGTACATAACTAATAAGAATACTTATTTTGCTCTGTTTTAGGGCTATGAAGTCTTCTATTTATAGGCAGTTGTTTCTTTGTCTAATCTTGACATGGATAGAATCATTTAGAGCTACACCAGGTACGTTTCATGCTAATAATGATTTCTTAATGAGTAGATGATTTCCCACTTTTGCACCCAGCTATCCAAATCACAGTTTAATGGTGAAATGGGATTACATGATAAATGTTAGTATAATTAATATTCAGTCTAAATAATATTTAGACTCACGGCCTACTAAATGGCGTAATAGTCAATAGACCATGAGGACGAGAGGTCTAATAGTTTTAGTATGAACCTTACTAATCGGTCAGATAAATGAATACAAACAATGTACAATGTATTATGTTAACATAATTCAAACCAGCACTTTTCCCAACTAATGGTCTATCACTAATAGACCACTAAACTAGCTCAGCCAATCAGTGCACAGAATTTGTGGTAGACCATTAGTAGTTTATTAGTATTAGTCGACTCTAAATCTTTGTATTGTTGAAGAAATAGAAAACATGTACACGTACTGTGTGCCGTTATAAAGCATGCAAGGATTGGCAGAACATGAGAGAAGTGTTAGGAGAAGAATGACGGATAGCAGAGTGCTTCTCGACACTTCTTGGGTGTTCTGTTTATCCCCATTAACATATTCAAGTATTCACCACTTAAAGTGCTCTACAGTACAGCAAGCAAGTGTTTTTATTTTCTTTTGTAAATACAAATTTTTATAACCATTATTTTTTATACTAATGGTGCTATAGAAAGTACAAATCACTCAACACACAATACAAGTTGTATACACCTAATAATTCCAAAATGGCACACAGCTGAGTGTGCTACATGAAAAGGAGCCATCCAGGGCCAAATGCAAAGAAATAATCCAAAGTATACACTTGTTTCTCTTGATCTGTCTTAACTTTTCTTCTTACATTCAGGAACACAACAATTTTGCAGCTTCAAGTCATAACAAAATACTGTAATTTTGGCCCTTGATGCCTCATTCAGCCGGCTGTGTGCCATTTTGGATTTAGGTGTATATGACAAAAACAAACTATGGAATTAATATAAACCAATGGCTGTTGGCCTAAATTTGATAATTATTTTGTAGAATAGATGGATAGTAAAAAATAACTTTTTGAATATTGCTTTAGGTTTCTTCATGGGTATGGAAGTAACCATTTCAACATGTTTTTATGAAAATGAGTTATTTTTGAGTAAATAAAATATATGTTTTATATTAGTGTGTCAGTCAAGTCTTGGTATGGAGGATGGCTCCATTGCAGATATTCAGTTGTCAGCATCATCTGCTCACAGTGGGTTATCAGATGCTTTAAGTGGGAGACTTAACAGTAACAAAGGCTATGGAGCATGGTGTCCAAATCAAGGCACAGGATGGTACAGTGAAAGAAATGGTGGACCATATCATAATCAGTATTTCCAGGTTTTCCTTAATAAACCTATGAGAATTTCAGCAGTTGGTACCCAAGGAAGATCTAAAGATTATGGAATGGAGGGTGTTGAGTCATTTTACGTTAATTACACCTTAATGGCATCCGGACTAAAACCTTGGACGCAATACCGTGATTGGATGCAGACAAAAGCTAAGGTATCTACTACTATATCTGTCTATTATAAATTGAAGTGAATGAATTATTCAGTCATTAACTTTATAAACTCCATCTTGGCTGAACTGAACAAAGGATTTGTCATTAGTGTCTTTTGTTATAACCAACAGGACTGACAAATTGTTTTTACATGTTTGTTTGTTTATTTGTTTGTTTCATTGTTTGTTTGTTTTCTCAACCTGATATACAAATAACTAGTTTTAAAGTTAATAATGAATGATTACAAGATATTTTATACATACAACCACAGTTAATAGAGGGGAAAGGTTAAGAAACCTATTGTTATCAGGTCTTTGTTCGCTTTTGATGTTGAACTGGTCTTGACAATGCACAATGTTTGATTTATGCTCATCCGAAATTGCAAAATAAGTAAACATAAACTTTGTCTATATGATTGTTGTAAGGAATATTCAAATATCTCTTATAAATCTTTAAATATTTTGAACTAGCTGCCAAAAGAAAGATTTTGGTCTGTTCACTCTGTCATTGCCAACAATGGTAAAACAAAGGATTGTGCACTTTCACACTTGAAAAAAGTGAACAAAGACTTATAATAAAAGGGTTTCCTAACCATTCCCCTCTATTAAGTATGCTACAACAGGGTTTTCATTAAGTGTTGGAGAGGTTGAGATCAGAGAATGAACTAGAAACTGAGCAAAGCTATCTGACTTACATTACCATCATCTTCTCATATTATTTCAGACCTTATTGAAACCCTGCCAAGATGCTTTGGCTATTTCATCATCTTCTCCTATTATTCAAACCTAAATAAATAATGAACCCTAATGTAGTCAGTATTTTTGAGCATGGAATTAGCTACGTATCCTCACTTTTTCTAACCGGATATCTTGTACAGATGATTGAATGCTGCTTTTGCTAGACATTGCAAGCAGCATACCAAGACCCCATAAGCCATCCCTTACTTACACTTACGTCACTTAAATCAATAAGCTTTTCTTTGTGTGTGGTATGTTTCTGTAGGTTTGTAAGGGTCTGGGAGTATGTTTTAAGTCTTCTTCACAATCTCAAACCTGGGGTCCAGATAGTTTTTATATATTTTCATGAGACCAGGCCAATAACCTTCACTAAAAGTGTTTAGTATTGTTCTTATGATTCTGTCCAGTCTGGCTTAATCATCTATTATTTATTTATTTATTTATTTATTTATTTATTTAT